TCTACTTTGAAGTTTCAGAAAAATATATAATTTGGGTCTCTAAAACGAAGTTGTTGGAATAAGAACATTATATACAACTAAGTAAATCAAATAATAAATTTTACCTCTAGAAGTATAGTTTAACAGTATCCCAAAACAAGTAGTAACTTATTCATAATTCCTCAAATAAACCACCAAACAATTAACATGGTTAACAAGCTTGATTGTTTCCCTCAAATAGGGTTTAGGCTATGGCCTTCTTTGACAGTTAGTTTATAACAGATAACATTGTATTAGCACATAAGTGACAAGGGATTATAATTACTTTGAAATTTGGCCTTCTTTAGCAATTAACTGATAGTAGATAATTGATTGTATTAGCGCATATGTGATAGCGGATTATAATTATTTTTAAAAATTTTATATAAACATGTTATTCTACGAATTATATAGGCATTCCAAAATTCAATCACATAATATTGATTTGTTCCAAGCCATTCTGTTTCTGGATCGACCCCCCGAACAAACGATTCCTTTTTTCAACCCATTTTTCGCATATTTAAAAGCAACATTCACATACAGAGCAGAATGAATAAGGGAAGCAGAATGAATATACACCTCACCAATAACAAAACAAGTATGTTTATTTTGTTCGTTTTTTCGTTCTTGTAACATCTGCAATCTATAATTCATCCTAAACAATCAATAATTCATCCCAAACAATCTCAATTATAAATAAATAAATATGCTTTCAAAAAAATCACGAAAATAAGAGCAGCCACAGTTGTCTACTTAACAATCAAATCCAGAATCCCATTAAAGTTCCTTAAACTGGATCAACAAAAGTGTGTGTGCATGACAGCAGCAAATTGCAATGCATCCATATGCGGTAAAAAAAACATCAAATCTTACAATTTCACCAACAAAAAAGAAAACCAGCGTTGAAGACACACAACACGTAATTCAACCGAGTCGTTTCTTTATTTTTTAAACAAAAGTTTGAACATATTCAGTTACCCAAACCCAAGTCAATCTTTTCCGGATGGGCAAAGCAGAGAGAATAATAGTGATATCCTCAATGATGAACATCAGTTCCACCTCCCTTGGCCTTCTCTGCAGTTGCTCTCAGTTGGCGCTGCTCCTCTTTGTATACTTGGTTACGACGTCTAAACTGTACAAAAATGCAATGATTTCAACTAATTCATAAGGAGAAAGAAACATTCACACACACAGAGAGAGAGAGAGAGAGAGAGAGAGAGAGAGAGAGTGGTAGGAGGACCAAAATGTTATAACTGAATATACAAGCTTGAAAATCTGGGCAATTCGAAAAGATTCATACGGACGTGGACCATAACAATTTCACGTAACATTTTGAAATGAGTTTTATTCATTGATGTCTTCAGGCATGTCATTAGAATGCACTGCACAATCTAATATGACTACAAAAGCAAACGTAGAAGACAAGACTAATGAAAGCAAGAAAAATGATCATCAAGACAAGGCGGGTGTGGCCTTGAACCAGGACCTGTAAGTTCCTTAATCCCAGAACAGCCAAGTTGTCATTTGGTATTTTCCTTTTTTTTTCCGCCAAATTTTGTTTGCTTAAATAATTGCTAATAATCATCCGCATGATTTAAGGCAAGAAAATTGACTGTATCTTTGTTGTAATGTCAAGAAGCAATTGAAATGCAGGCATGCTAGGTGCCACAAACAATCCAAAATTTGTCTAATCCATCAATCGGGATTAAGAATAAACACAAGGAAAAAAAAAGGAACAACTACTGCATTTGAATTTGACATAGTAATAAAAGTACAAACAAATGCTTCCCTGATTTCACAAATGAATATCATTGATCCCAAAATAAATGCAGGCAGAAATATAGTAACATGTGGCAATAACCTGACAAGAAATTACAACCCGAGAAAGTATAGAGCTTGTAGCTCAAGTGAAACCTCTCACACTTTGTAAGGTTGTTGTGCTAGTTAATACAAGGTTCGCTTTTCCTCACAGATATTTAGGACTTTAGACTCTCCTCACTGTGGATCCCCATATAACTATTAAAAATTTACACCCCGAGAAAGTAAAACCAGCAAAATTACATCTGCCCCGTCTCAATCCCATCAGGCCACGACATTTCCACCTTTATATACCGCAGATGGTGCATACCAAATGTAATCTTGCCGACTTCTGCATAACACCTCAGCTTTGGACATAAAACAACATAAGAAACTCCACTCATTTTTGTTTACCGAGTACATTACAACCGAGAAGTAAACTAGAAAGTAGATTTCATCACACACCTGTACATACAAATCAATTTATAAGCATTTCTACTCCATTCCAAGGCTAATCCCTAGACAATGTCGAAGGCCAGATTAAGAGCCACTGATTCACCCAATTTGAAACAAATTTCAACTCCTAATCAAACCCATCGAATCTCTCAATCCCCACGAACATAATCAACAAATCGCTGCTAACAAACCCATCAGATCTCAACCTCCAACAAAAAAAATCGAAAAATCGCCACTAATAGAGAGAAAATTTCAGCTGCCAGGCTCTGAATACAGAATTTTTTCACATGCCCGGAGCTAAATCGGACAGTTTCAGAAGATGGGTAATACCTCTTTAGAGTGGTGCAGACACTCGAAATAGTCGTCGCGGAGGAGTGTGCAGTCCTTGGGCTCCCGACAGCGGGACATGCAGTCACTGAAGTCCATCCAGAAATCGTAGCAGCGGCCCTTGTTCCCCGTGATTCCCCATCCCGACGCCATTTTTCACCGGTGTTTTCGAGCTTTTTCTCTCTTGGTTACAATTTGGGTTTTATAGCTCCACTAGAATTGATATTAAATGGGCGTTATTTAAAATAAAAACTACTGCTTGGCCCGAAAACAATATTACGATCGTGTTAAAAACTAAATATACGAATAAATTAATCAAGATTTATTCATCATTTTTAAATTAAACTGTGTTAGACATAGTGCGATCGGATGGACCGATAACCAATTTTAATCAGTCTAATTCACTTGAATAAAACATTTGCTATTGAATCCGTCAACACCAGTCGGTTGAACTGGTAGGATTGATACAATTTTCTAAATAAATTTTGCTATATTTAAAATTATTTTAAATAAAATTACATATTTAAATAAAATAGAGATTTATAAATTGTTTATCAATTAGTTTGAATATTTAAATTTTTATATTGTTTAGATATTTAAGTAGCACATTTTATTCAAATTTATTACAAAAGTGCCATATATATATATATATATATATATATATTAAAAGCGTATTTAAACAAAAAAATGTATGATTCTTATAAATAAAATTGTATGATTATATTAAAGCATATTTATAAATTAAATTGTATGGTTTTTAAAGAAAAAAATAAGAAAAATAATAAAACTAATATTTATGGGTTGTATTAAATGCTGACCTAATTTTTTGCTATTTAATTTTAGTAAATATGATGACTCTTTATATAAGTATAGATAAATATTATTATTATTATTATCTGTATCTATATAAATCTATCAATAATGCTCCCTACCCACGAGGGCACATGTTAATATGTCCACCGCGCATGTACATATTGGTGATGTATTTTTTTAACATATTAACATCACTTATGTGTGCATGCCACATAAGCGGTGGACATATTAACATGTGCCTACCGTGGGTAGGGCAGCAGCCAACATTATTGATAAATCTATATGATAGTTTTCGACATCCACCTATGCAGCTAAATTATTTGTATGCATATAATATTAAAATTTATAGGTTAAAATATTATATTTTAAATAAAGAGTATTATAAGTACATATAATATTAAAATTATAAGTTAGATAATGATATATTTTAAAATTTGATCATTAGTTAAAATAAATAGTATATAATTATTCAACTGTATATAAATCAATATATTGGTTGCAAAAAATGTAAGAAATAGAATAATTTTAGTAATTTTGAGGGATCACGCCAATTAATTAGCTGAAAAATATTAAATTTAGTATAACAATTGCTTATGCGAATTTAAAAGGATTTTACTATGACATGAAAATAAATAAATTTATTTGAAAAAATAATCGCTTAATTAAATAAAAAAGAAATAAATATTGATTTTGGAATAATAAACTTGAACAAAGTTTTTCAATATAATTTTTTATGTTTATGTAACTTTCGTATATCATTTAGTATGAAATATAATTATCAATTTTAATAATAACTATATTTGAAACAATAAAAAAATAATTATTATTGAATTATTAGATTTTTATAATAGATTTTATATAAATTATCCAAAAAAAATGCGCAAGAAATAAATATTATATCATTAATGGGATATGGTGCATTAATGTAACAACAATAACAACAACAACAACAATAATATTATTAAAATTTTTGCTAGTATATATGTATATATATAACAAATTGAATTGTAACGGTGTTTTGCGAGAAAACTATAGAGGTCTTATTAAATAAGTTTTATTAAATAATCAGTCAGCAATTATATATAGAGATATTGGAATATGTTTGATGGAATAATTCAAAATAGTAAAAGTTACTTTATAATTAATTAGTTTGACAAGTTGTTAAATGAAATATTTATACAAAAATGAAAATAAAGTTAACGGACATGTTGTATATCGTGCATTTCATTAATAGCACGACTTTTTATATAAATAAAGTTGTATTCATTTTTAAAATTATTTAGTGATAACTATCACACTAGAAATTCGATTGTTCATATTAATTACGAATCACTCGAATTTCTTATTATTTTGATAACCGACCATACAACATGTCTTTAGGAAAACATCTATCAAAAACTTTTTTTTTATAGAGAATATTGTTTAAATATGTATGATAAAATTTCACATATAATTACAAAATAAAAATCGGAAATTAGTTATGAAAATTTTATTATGATATTTGAAGAAGCTATTGAATTTTTTTGTTTTGTTTGATTTATCAACTAACTTTATCAAACAATTTCGAGTTTTTTTTATTAAGCATCATAAGATAATTTATATATATATATTTTCAAACAATTATTTCATGCTTAAAAATAAGTTACAAATTGATTTAGAAATTAATAAAAAGAAAGTAAAACATATCCAAAATAACACAGCTACAGTTCGCCAGACCCACTTCGAACAATACACCTCAGTCCCCACTCGCAAACAAAAACCTCCGTCTTCGAAAAATCCCTTTTCCACAACAAAATCTTCTGATAAACCATCGAATTTCATCTTCAAAATTCGGTTCAATAACAAGTTATTACAACGCAACAATGTCGCGCGGATCCGTGGATTCGCTTCACGCCGTAGAATCGTGCGCCTTCAAGCTCTTCAACTGGAGACCCTTCGCCAAGTCGATAGACTCCGATCCGGCCGCAGGGCCCGGAGGCGGGCCCCACAGCAAGCGCCCCTGCCGAGCGGACCGCGCCACGTCTTCGTTCTCCATCGACGCGATTCTGGACATGTCCAAGCTCAGCCTCTTTGACGACGACCGTGCCCTATCGCTATCCGCCGCGCGCAAGCGCTGGCTCGCCCGAAAGCGCCGCCGCCGGGCCGGATCGAGGTCTGTTTCCGGACGGAGCTCAGATCGTAGGCGCGGCTGCTCGGTTGGCGCCTCCGGAGCCAACGGCACCTGCTCCGATTTTCCGATGGCGGCGGGCGGCACGGATTCGAGCGGGGAGCTGTTTGGGGACTCGAATTGGGCGTCTGATGTGAGCGATCGGAACTTTAGGAGGGGGAGGGAGGGGAGCGGCGGCGGGGAGAGGGAGAATTTGGGTGGTGGGTGTGGGCAATTTGGTAATTTGGACAATCAGGGGAATGAATCTGGGTATGGGAGTGAGCCAGGGTACAGAGGCGATGCGGAGCTTGGATATGGCGATGAGGAAGAAGATGATTCCAGGGTTTTGTTTTGGGGAGATGAATTTGGAGGTACTCCCAGCTTTGAAATTTGTGCTTTCCTTTTAAAGTTGATGTTGGTTTGCTTGATGTGTTCGAATTCTGTGTTCCATGGCAGTGGCTGCTTCATCACTAGTATATCTAAGCATCAAAGATTCAAAATGTGATCTCTCCAAGCATAAATTAGTTCTTGAAACAAGCATTTTATTAATACTGCATTTGTTGTGAACTTGTAATCTTAGGCATTTTCAGAGGCGAACTTAAGAGGGAGCTCGTAATGATTGGTCATTGGTGGAAATCATGAGACTAGTTTGAATAGGGAACTTCATTTATCTATATAGCCTATGGTTTGTTGAATTATATTATTGGTTTTTGGCTAATAAGGTAGAAAACTATATATATTTTTTGGAATAATGAAGTTTTCCAGTAAGGATTTCTACTCTTTAACTTCAACATAGTGAGGTTGCTGAGCATGTACTTGTAAGTTAACAGATAACTGTATTAATCTCTTGTAAAGCAGTGTGAAAGCTTGGAAGTCATTCAGTTGATCTAGCATGCTCCTGTATATAAACTTATGTATATTCCTATATGATTTGCAGTTCTTTAGCATCTTGTTTATCTATAGCTATTACGAGTCATTCGTGCGTATCATCAAATTCGGAACAACCTTTTTTGGCAGCCACTAAAAGGTGTATATAAAATGTTGTTTTGTTTTGGAGTCCCCTGATTTTTCTGTTTTCTTTTTATTGTTTAAGAGGATATGTATACATATATTCTGTTTACAGATGAATTGTGTGGTACAGAAATTGTAATGCTTATATTTGATGTCTAATTAACGCATCCATTTGCTTAAGCTAGTCTTTGCCTTTTTGTTGTATAATTTGTATTTAGATGCATCGTCGAAGATGGAAAAGGTCGTTGAGAACTCTCTGCAGAAAGCTCATCACAGATGCCGGCGTAAGAAGCATGATGTGAAAATGGTTGATAACCTAAGGTAGAGATAAATATATAAAGTGGGAGGCCCGTTTTGATAATATGTAGAGTTGTTTCCACTTTCCATGGCCTTCACATTCAAAGGGATTGCATTTTTTGTTTATGTCAAGATTCAACTTCTTGTCGTTGAAGATTGCCTCAAATTGAAACACTTCTTATCAAATTAGTGTTTTTTTTTTTCAACCGAAATAAATGGGATTTGGATTCTATATGTAAATGCAGTGTGTCTTGATCTCGAGCAGTATTTGAGTTTTGATGTTGGTAAGTCTCCACATTATAACTAAGCGAGTGTCTTGATCTTGAGGGATGTTTGATGTTTGTAAGTGATGTGTTTGTACTTTGTTGATTGGGTATGTGAAAGCAGAATTATGAAATGAACTTTATTGATGAAGAAAATACTCTGTACATCATGTGTTGAAAATTTGAAATACTTCGGTTTTGTATTTGGGTTGAAAAAAAAAGGAAAAAAGAAAAAAAGATTTTGAAAATTGCACAAACCCCCTGAAATCCTTAAAATGCCTTTCAGCGTCTTGTTTGTGTATCATTTTTTTTTATGGATTAAACAGTAAATGAGCCTCCTCACTAATTCAGCCAAATTATTATTATTATTATTATTATTATTATTATTATTATTATTATTATTATTATTATTATTATTATTTAAATGTGTTTAAATAACTAGTATCTTCAATTAACGGCCAAATAATTATTATTAATATTATCCCTTAATTACAGTTCCATACAAAAATAAGTTCCCAAAGGGGAAATCGTATTGCGACGTCGTATCGAGGAAGGATCGGGAGCGAAGAGGATGTTTGGATATAAATTATTTGATTTTTTGGTTTGGTACGGTTAATTTTTTGAAAAAAGTAGTGTATTAATTGTTAGTGAGATTTTGAGTTTATATTAAAATAATATTTAAAATAAAATAATTAAAGTTGATTTGATGTAAAAGTAGGAGAAAGATGATATGAACAATGATTAGTTAAAATTATGTGAGTAAATGAATAACGAACTAAATTTGATGTAAAATAATTGAGTTGTATTATTTAATTATACTGATAATATCGAAAATAGCGGGATTGAGTAAAAGTTGAGTGAGATTTAAATTAACAAAAAAATTGATTTGTTAAAAATGATTGGATTTTTTCTGAAAAATTTGTATCCAAGCATCTCCGAAGCAATTCTAGCCTATAGAGCAGTACCGCACACCAAGTGTCGAGCTTTTGCGGGCAATGCCCTAATGCTCCGCGAGTCCGCTGCAGAAGCCCAGAAGGAATTTGAAAAGAATCGTTGCGTGACCTCCCCCGTTGACCGCAGCCGCCTCCTCTGAAGAATATAGCAGAGTTTTTTTTTGTATTGAGTCATTTTGAACTCCTTTTCCCTCTTCTTCTTTGCACGTGTTTGGTGCTCGTGTCAATATAA